GCCAGAATTGGGCCAGAACTGGGCCAGAACTGGGCCAGAACTGGGTCAGAACTGGGCCAGAACTGGGCCAGAATTGGGCCAGAACTGGGTTAGAACTGGGCCAGAACTGAGCCATCCCGTGGCCAGCGGAGCCCGCTTCCCAGTATTCATGGAAACGAGTCGCGAGGGATTTGAAAGGATTGAGTTGGAGAGGTGATACATCCTCGAGCAAAGCCAGGCTGCAGCCACACGCGCACGCACGCACGGGGTACGCGCGAGCAATCGACCACACAGCCGACACGCGCAAAGGAAATCATAAATCGTCTTATAAACGTACGTTAAGAGCTTTGGCGCGGGGAGGAGGCCGGGTGGCTCAGAGGTCAGAGAGCTGAGCTGGCACCGCTAACATCCTGGATTTCAATCCGGGCTCTCAAGCTGCACAACTGCGATTGAAAACTGGCTCGGTGTGACAGCCCCCGGGCTCTGATGAACGGTCTTGGCTGTGATTCCAGTGCCTCCTGGATGTTGATTAAGACCACAGCAGGGCGACGTGCATGGTCGGTCTGAGGTGGCGCGGGGACTTTCAGGAGCTGTCATCGGATCTCCACGGAACCAATCGCCTTGCAGCTCAGTGACTTTCGCCCACGAACTCGAAGATAATGTTGGGAACATAGTGATTGCTCGCGGTACAACACACCCGTCTGATATATATTTTTTTGTTCCTTTTAAATTGTATTTTTCCATCCAATTGTATTGTGATCGTGCTGTTGCTATCATGTCTGAGGACCATGGTTCGAATCCTGGAAGGTACCTGTGATTGAACCGGCTTCTTGAGTGGAGTGAGTTGATGGTCTAAGCCCGGTCAACGACGATCAAATAAAATTATAAACGTTAAAATCTAGTTCTCCACGTAATTCGGCCGAGTTCCAGCTCTGAGAATTATTAAAATTATATTTTTTTGCGAATAGCATTCGATGAACATTTCTCTCATACGCAGAGCGGGTGGGAAGGTCCTGCCCTCTACTGCGCGTGGACCAGATACCACTCGAAGGGATCTTCAGAGGTGGGTCTGTGATATCCACTTCTGTGGGCCGTTCTCTAACACGAAGGGTCCGTACTGCATTGCGAGCGATCCAAACGGATTGTTCGTCTGGTGACGCAACGCTCATAGCGCAATTGTGTGGCATTTCGTTAAAAAAAATATATAAACCCATTCCAAATAGCATGCATGCAATTGAATTATGTAACGCTTTCCAACATGATGTGGTTTCTCGGACGTATTTAATTAACAGTGTGAAAGCCGACGGGTAGCTTGTCAGCTCAATTTTCATTTGCATATTTGAAAATAGTATTATTATTATGTTTTCCTCTGCTGTGCTTCTCCCAAGTTTTTTTTGTTCCGGAATCAACTTGTTCGACTGCAGGGATCCATACTCTTTGGTTCTTTCGGTAAAATCACGTAGGTATAAAATAAAATTAATTAAATCACGACGTTTTGGGCGCAACACACAAGCGCCCGTCATCAGGTGGGACAACCACAGCAAGAAACAATTGCTGAAGTGGGCAAACAGAGGGTAGGTCCCTGAGAGAAACGCAACTTTGTACCAAAGTTTCGTTCCTATTGGATCATCTCTTCCACAGTAATCGTGGCACCCCCCCCCCCCCCACCACATTACACACATACATCCACACACGTCCCACACGCACACGTCCACAGATGCACATGTTCACACACAAAGACAAAATTCCCCCTTGCAGCCTTAATAGACTGTCGGGGCAAGTGCTCTTAGTGAGCACCTATGATGGCTGGCAGAGCACACGAGGGGGTGGGTGGCCAACATCACGCCCGGCCGCCTTTGTCTCCCTCGTGGCGATGTTTACACATCGCACAAGGTACTCATTTGAGGCCTAGTCGACCTAAAGGAGGTCCAGAACCGGTTCAGATAATCGTCACTGGTATCGGCCGTGAGCGGGAATCTAACCCGGGTCGCCAGGTTAGTAGCGCAGCTCGCTAACCGCTACGTGACCGCTCCCGGTTACGCACACACGTCCACGCACACCCACACACGCGCGGCCAAGTGAGGAAAAGACCGCGCTGGAAAGGCAGCGGTGATTTACGCGGCTTTGAGGAGCGGGGCTGGGTGATTGTGTTGTCAAAAGAGGCTAAATAACAACAAACGGCAAAGCAAAATAAATCAGGCCCCCATTTCCCGGGAGAGCTCGGGGGGCTCTGCCGCACATTAGCCACGTGGCGTTTAATGTGGCCGGCGAGCGAGTGATGGACTGAGTGGAGAGCGGAAGAGAGCGAGAGAGAGGGAGACAAAGAGAGAGAGCGAGAGACAGAGAGAGAGAGAGAGAGCGAGAGAGAGAGAGAGCGAGAGAGAGGGAGACAGGGAGAGAGCGAGAGAGAGGGAGACAAAGAGAGAGAGCGAGAGACAGAGAGAGAGAGAGACACAGAGAGAGAGAGCGAGAGAGAGGGAGACAAAGAGAGAGAGCAAGAGACAGAGAGAGAGCGAGAGAGAGAGAGAGCGAGAGAGAGGGAGACAGGGAGAGAGCGAGAGAGAGAGACACAGAGAGAGAGAGCGAGGGAGAGCGAGCGAGCGAGCAGATGAAACGGTTTTAAATGTGACCTTCCGTGGACGCTGTGTAGCTCAGCGAAGGTGAGAGCTGAGCCGCGTGGTCTCCCGATAGGCGCTGCTGGCTGCCTACCTCCCCCGTAGCAGATTGCCAACAAAATTGGACGATATATCACGCGACGTTACATTAAGCGCACGCCTTAATTTCCCGCCGACGAAAAAAAGATGTCCAGGTCGCTCGCCGAGACTGAAGTAGATTTTGGCACGCGGTGAGTAGGAGCCACGCAGCCAAGCCGAGGGGGAATGCTGGATGTGGTGTGCCGGGTGCGGAAATATCTTCTGGGATGCCGAGCCGGTTAGATCCGGCTGCTGGACGTTGGGTGTTGCTTGACTACACTCGGCTTTCGCGACCAATATCTGTGAAAAAGTTTTTGTTTGGGTTAGATCACATTAATATAAATGTGTCGTTAAACCCGCAACCACCCAACACAACCAATGGGTTAAGGTTTGTCACGTAAACAAAATTGTTCATCCAATTCGGGCTAATCACCTGATGAGGCTGGATGTAGTCACCAGCGAAACGTCGCACTCGAATTGTAAACGCTGTGGGTTTACTCTCCAACACACCACCACAGTGTGTTGGAGTAGTAACTAATTGGCACATTTTGTTTACGTAACAAAACCTTTCCAATTGGCTGTGTCGGTTGGTGGCGGGTTTAACGACATATTTATATTACGCGATCTTACCTCAAAACACCTTTATTACGGATACTTCTCCCTGCTTGTCATTGGCCTGAATGTCACCAATCATAAAAAAAAAAATGTTCCCTTTTTAGAGCCGCAGAGCTGTTGAAGATTGCATTTGAACTTGTCTTGCTTTGAGCTCAGAGCGCAAGTGCCGACGCAGTGTCGCCTCGTGCCCTGGTCGGTGTGGAAAGAAAGATGACTTTGTTCCCAAAAAAAGAAATAAGTGGCAATGAATATTCAGAAGCGGGAAGCCAGAAACCAGACACCAAATAACGAGCCACACAAAATGTCCCCTTGCCACATCTGTCACCCCACATAAAAAGAATTGTAAATTTAAGTTAAATATTTTTTTTCGATTTAAAGCTTCTTTCGTGACTGCAGGGAGTCATCTTCTTGTTCTTTTGGTAAAGTCACGTAGAAGGGAAATAATAAAATAATAAAAATAAAACATAATAAAATAATTCTCACGACGTTTCGGCCACAGCGCAAGCAGCCGTCCTCAGGTGAAGACCAGGTCTGTCGGAAAGACAGCGTCTGAATGGGTTTTTTTTTTACTTTTTATTATCAGTTTTATTTTCACCTACGTGACTTTACCGAAAGAACCAAAAAGTAAGGATCCTTGCAGTCACGAAGACTTCAAATCTAGAATTATTACATGCCATCATCCACTCTACCCTGTGGCACTGCATAAGTTTCAACAGCATTGGTTCAACACGGGCAAAACTCTGGACCGGTTTTCACATTAAAGTGTCCCATCAGCAGCAGAGTCACGCTCACCTGAAACAATGCTGGTGACCTGCCACGGGTTCATCGGCAAGGACCCTGCCAGGAACCGCTCTCTGGTTAGAAGATGAGTCCTAGTTTGACGCAATGTCCCCCAACGATCGGCCTTCTAAGACCGAACGAATATTCGGGTGGAAAGTAATTTACCCGACACGCGGGCCGAGTGAGGCTAACCCTGGGAATCTGGGACCATGCGACCCAATCGTGAACCGCCTCGGCAAAGCTTTCCAGTGGTCATGGGGACACGGCGTTAGACCCTACTATGCACTTGGTGTGACGATACGTATAAATATTTCAGCTGGCGTGCCGCTGTGAATACTAATATTCTACAGTCAAAACTCCTCCTCTGCACCGTGTGTAGAAGATGCCTTGATACACCATGGCACAGTAAAGCAAAAAATGCGTTTTTGATTAAATTTCTTCAGTTGCTTGGGATTTTCAGGTCACTTTCGGATTTGATTTTCGCGTATATGCATTTTTCCGATTTACATCTGCGAAATGGGAATGACTTCCATTGCTTGCGCGCTAAATGTAATCGTTTTAACGATTGTAAATATGAATAATTAAAGTCGAATTTTAAACGCGAAGCTATGAAGAGGGCAAAAGCCTAGTATATAAACGCATTCCACACATGCACACGTATGTCCTCTCACACAATAACATTATAATGCACACACGAGACATCGCACACACACGCACACAAAGACAAAGATCCCTTTATAGCCTTAACAGGCTGATGGGACAAGTGCTGTTAGCGAGGACCTCTGAAGACCGGCACGGCACGCGTGGGGGTGGGTGGCCAGCTGCACCACGCCCGGCCGCCTTTGTCTCCCCAGTGCTGATTTTTACACACCGCGCCAGGTACTCATACACGTACACATGCATACACGTGTGCGTGTGTAAACACAGACTTACAAGCCTGGAGCGGAGGGGATGCAACTCAGCCGCTGGTCCAGGAAGGGGGAGGAGATCTCCACAAACTGCTCGGCTCTCTTCACCTCCGGCTCTGCAGGGCAGACAGCACAAGCAGAGAGAAAGACAAAGATCCCCCGTATAGCCTTAATCGAGTTTTGAGGCAAGTGCTGTTAGCGAGCAGCACCTATGAAGGACGGCACGACACACGAGGGGGTGGGTGGTCGGCACCGAGTGGCGATGTTTACAAACCGCAGCAGGTACTCATGTGAGGCTGAGTCGACCTAGGGAAGGCCCATGACCGGTTCAGATAATCGTCACAGCTGTTGGCCATGAACGGGAATCTAACTCGGGTCACCGGGTTTGTAGCACAGCACGCTAACCACTGCACTACCGCTCACCACACAAGCAGAGATACAGACACACACGTGGACACAAAGGCAAATATCCCCGTATAGCCTTTCACAGACTGTTGGGGCAAGTGCTGTGAGCGAGCACCTATGAAGGCCGGCATGCCACACGAGGGGGTGGATGGCCAGCACCACGCCCAGCCATCTTTGTCTCCTGAGTGATGATGTTTACACACCGCACCAGATACCCGTTTAAGCCGACCTAGGGGAGACCCATGACCGGTTCAGATAATCGTCACTGGTGTTGGTCGTGAACAGGAATTGAACTCGGGTCACCGGGTTCCTACCGCAGCGTGCTAACTGCAGCGCTACCGCTCCACGCACACGGATGACTCTCAAGAGATGAAACAGGACACACGCACGTACGCACGTACGCACACGTGGAACTCGGCAACGACAGCGCACTGGGCGAGACTGTGACGGGTGGGTGGACAGACTGGCGGGCAGGTCGATCGGATAAAGCGGTGAGGAGTGAGCAAGAGACGAGATGAATGAGTGGTGAGTGAGAGAGTAGGAGAGAGATAGAACAAAAATTTACCCGTGGCGGCTAGAGTCCTCTCGTCCTCTGGCTTGAGATGGCTGCCACCTATAGGTCAGATGATTGCCTGGCAGCATTAAGCAATTGGTAATTAAATATAAAAAAAAAATCCTAAAAAGTGTAAAATTTTGCGAACATTTTTCACGAAAATTAATTGTCACGCACAACGAGTCTGTGTGGAACATGTCAGCTCGATTGGATCACGGGAAGTGGGTTAAAAAACGACCGAAAGATTTGCACGGTCGTAAGCGCGCAAGCAAGCAAGCGAACTTAATATAAAGGATTTAAATAAAAAACGACCGAAAGATTTGCACGGTCGTAAGCGCGCAAGCAAGCAAGCGAACTTAATATAAAGGATTTAAAAAGGAGTGCAAGGCTTGGGTGAGCATGGCCAACACTCACATTCGACTCATTACATCGGAAACAATGCCAACCAACGCCACATGCCCATAAGCAGTGGCAGGCAATATATAAATGACATGTACGGTCATTTAGATATGTAATTTCATTACATGTGTAATGTGTAATTGATATCTAAATTACACACCTCAAAGCAATTGGTAATTTGTATTTGCATTACGCGAGGCTAGGCTAATTGGTCATCAGTATCTACATTCCATTGCTCCAGTAATTTGTAACTGCAATGTATGTTTGCCGCACCTCCGATTAGCAAGGTTGGCTACGTACTGTGCGAAAGAAGTTCAACGTACGTACGTACACACATTTGCGGATCTCTGCAGCTGAAGGATGCTGCCGTGGAGTGGGCATGCAATTGCAGGGCTGCACCCTTATCTGCGGCATTCACATTTAATGGGGAATGCTACACGATAAAATTTTGCCTCGCGGCTTGCGTTCACGTGACGTTGCTGTTGTCTCGGTTGATGAAACCCACGGAAACGTACCACGAACCTCCGCAAATGTGCTACCGCTCGGCCGTGTCACCACCCCGTGACGGGGAGGGAGGGTTACGAAAACATCATGCGATAGAAATTCCACATCGAAACTCACTTTGCCAACATGCGCTTTCCATAAAATCTGACACGCCATCTCGTTGGCGAAGACAACGCGACGAGGCTGGACTTGCGCAATAAAGAGGTTGCCCAGCGCGGTTGTATCTCCCGGCACGGCAGTTGTAACAGAGGCGCGAATTTCTTAAATCCCTCTGCCACCCTACGCCCGTGCCTCCTCCATCGCATGCATCCCATGACATCCCAAACCCTCTGCTCACTCGTTCTTCTCCCAGCCCTACCACTCACCGCAAAGACAAAGATCACCCCCCACAACTCACCCCCCGCCCCCCCCCCCCCCCACCACGTATAGCCTTTAATAGACCATTGGGGCAAGTGCCGTGAGCGAGCAAATATGAAGGCCACCACGGCGCACAAGGCGGTGGTGTGGCTATCGCCCACACACCCCCAGCGGTGATGTTTACACATCGACCTCGGGGAGGCCCGGGACTGGTCCACCAGTGTTGGCCGGGAGCTGGAATCGAACTCGGGCGGTCGGGCTCGTAGCACAGCGTGCTAAACGCTGCGTCACCCACACACTGGCACACACGCGCACGCCCATGGTGCTACACCACCGCCACCGCCGCCGCTCAGCTCAGCGGTGGGATTTCAAAACCGTGGCCAATGTTCCAATTATTTCGGAGGAGCTGGAACGCCGCAGATAAGAGATTAGCGGAGAGAAGAGTCGGGACACTTTGGCTGGCGAGTGGATACAGACGACTTCCCCCCTACACTTCACACCCCGCCTGCCTGCCCCCCCCCCCCCCCCAGCCAAAACCCTGCTCCCCCATGGCTCGGAGCTATAATGTCGCTTAATGACTTCCGGTCAGAGCTGAGACGATGAGACGAAAGCCTCGACTCGCCGAGTCTTGCGCAAGGTCGAGCCGCGGTGACCGCGCCAACTTGAAACTGGTCCAGGGTTTGCTGCTGGGGGTGGGTGGGGGGTGGGGTTGGGGGGGGTGGGGGTTGGGGGGGGGATATTTAAGAAAAAGTCTGGCGTCAGAAAAACCCATCGCACTGGCGGATCCACCCAAACAGCAATACGATAAGACGCGAGTTTTACGGAGAGGGGTGAGAGGGGTGAGAGGTAGTGAGAGGGGTGAGAGGGGTGAGTGGGGTGAGTGGGGTGAGAGGGGTGAGAGGGGTGAGTGGGGTGAGAGGAGTGAGAGGGGTGAGAGGGGTGAGAGGTAGTGAGAGGGGTGAGAGGGGTGAGTGGGGTGAGTGGGGTGAGAGGGGTGAGAGGGGTGAGTGGGGTGAGAGGAGTGAGAGGGGTGAGAGGGGTGAGAGGTAGTGAGAGGGGTGAGAGGGGTGAGTGGGGTGAGTGGGGTGAGTGGGGTGAGAGGTAGTGAGTAGGGTGAGAGGAGTGAGTGGGGTGAGTGAGTGGGGTGAGTGGGGTGAGAGGTAGTGAGTGGGGTGAGAGGGGTGAGTGGGGTGAGTGAGTGGGGTGAGAGGGGTGAGTGGGGTGAGAGGGGTGAGTGGGGTGAGAGGGGTGAGAGGTAGTGAGAGGGGTGAGAGGGGTGAGTGGGGTGAAAGGGGTGAAAGGGGTGAGTGGGGTGAGAGGTAGTGAGTGGGGTGAGAGGGGTGAGAGGGGTGAGAGGGGTGAGTGGGGTGAGAGGTAGTGAGTGGGGTGAGAGGGGTGAGAGGGGTGAGAGGAGTGAGATGGGTGAGTGGGGTGAGTGGGGTGAGTGGGGTGAGAGAGGTGAGAGGGGTGAGTGGGGTGAGTGGGGTGAGAGGGGTGAGTGGGGTGAGAGGGGTGAGTGGGGTGAGTGGGGTGAGAGGGGTGAGAGGGGTGAGTGGGGTGAGAGGGGTGAGTGGGGTGAGTGAGTGGGGTGAGTGGGGTGAGAGGGGTGAGAGGTAGTGAGTGGGGTGAGTGGGGTGAGAGGGGTGAGTGGGGTGAGTGGGGTGAGAGGGGTGAGAGGGGTGAGTGGGGTGAGTGGGGTGAATGGGGTGAGAGGGGTGAGTGGGGTGAGAAGGGTGAGTGGGGTGAGTGGGGTGAGTGGGGTGAGAGGGGTGAGTGAGGTGAGTGGGGTGAGAGGGGTGAGTGGGGTGAGAGGGGTGAGTGGGGTGAGAGGGGTGAGTGGGGTGAGTGGGTGAGAGGGGTGAGTGGGGTGAGAGGGGTGAGAGGGGTGAGTGGGGTGAGAGGTAGTGAGTGGGGTGAGAGGGGTGAGAGGGGTGAGAGGGGTGAGTGGGTAGTGAGAGGGGTGAGTGGTAGTGAGTGGGGTGAGTGGGTAGTGAGAGGGGTGTGAGGGGTGAGTGGGTAGTGAGAGGGGTGAGTGGTAGTGAGTGGGGTGAGAGGGTTGAGAGGGTTGAGAGGGGTGAGTGGGGTGAGTGGGGTGAGAGGGGTGAGTGGGGTGAGAGGGGTGAGAGGTAGTGAGTGGGGTGAGAGGGGTGAGAGGGGTGAGAGGGGTGAGTGGGGTGAGAGGTAGTGAGTGGGGTGAGAGGGGTGAGAGGGGTGAGTGGGGTGAGTGGGGTGAGAGGGGTGAGTGGGGTGAGAGGGGTGAGAGGGGTGAGTGGGGTGAGTGGAGTGAGAGGGGAGAGAGGTAGTGAGTGGGGTGAGTGGGGTGAGAGGGTAGTGAGAGGGGTGAGTGGTAGTGATTGGGGTGAGTGGGGTGAGTTGGGTGAGTGGAGTGAGAGGGGTGAGAGGTAGTGAGTGGGGTGAGAGGGGTGAGAGGGGTGAGTGGAGTGAGAGGGGTGAGTGGGGTGAGAGGGGTGAGAGGGTAGTAAGTGGGGTGAGAGGTAGTGAGTGGGGTGAGAGGGGTGAGAGGGGTGAGTGGGTAGTGAGAGGGGTGAGTGGTAGTGAGTGGGGTGAGAGGTAGGTAGTATGGAAGATATTGAAGATCGATCTGGTATTGGATTGTGTGGATTGGAAACCAGTGGAAGGATTGGATTATCGGGGTAGCTGTGTCCTCCTTTACGGGGACTGGTAACACGCTATTGATTTATTGAAGGACGTTTGTCCTGCCACTTATAACTGGAGATCTAAGAGGAGTACAAGGATAAACAATTCACCACAAAGGAAAAACAACAAAGAGTCACCTTAACAGGATGCAAAGTTTGTTTTGACAGAGGCCATAACCTGATCTGGAGAGAAGACAAAAATGTTTAACGGAGCGAACGGGGGGCGGTTGTAATCACTCGGTAGACACACTGATTGACCGACGGATGAATGACAATTTGTTTTCTCAAATAATCATCATCAGCCATGGTCAATCCGCTACTAGATCAAAGCCAGCCACTCCTCACGATCCCACCCGGCACCTGCAGACCAACTGATTTCATTGCTCCATCTCTCTAGGCAGACGTCCGTCATCTCGGACACGTTCCATTGCCCGGCTGCCACTCCGTTATCTTATTTATTTGTTTGATATTCATAGAGCGCCTTCGCTCAAGGCGCTGAACATTGCTTAAAAAGCAGCTCACAAAATCGAGCAATTTAGATGGCAGGGGCAGTGCAAGGGCCGACGAACAAGTGACCACAACAGATGGTACCCCAACATTCCCAGTTTTTCCGCGCGGCGTCTTAAGCAGCGGTCTCCGCACTTAAGACAGCGTATAAATCCAAATTGCCATTGCATAGTCGGGGCTGATCGCTGCTAATGACCGAAGTGATCAGGTCTCCACGGTGAGATGCATCTGTGCCACCGTCCCCATGACTCCTGGGCAGGCAATCTCACGGGGCCGGAGCATGGTCCGCCGGCTATGGATTTTCGCTAACAAGGCGACGTGTGAGATTTTCTCCAAAAGCGCAATTAATTTCGGCCAAGTGAGTTTCGATTGACTCCGTGGAATTTCCACGCATGATGTTTTCGCAACCCTCCCTCCCCGCCTCCCACGAGGTGGTGATACGGTCGAGCGGCAGCGCACTTGCGGAGGTTCGCGGTTCAGTTCCGTGGGCCTCCCCTGGTTAATACTGCGTGTTGCATCAGCCAAAAAAACAACCGCGTCACGTGAACGAAAGTCATACGGCAGAATTGCGTCACAACTAAAGGCGCAGACCCTGCAACGCCAAGCCCCACTATAGTGAGATCTAGAGAACTCCCACCCACGAGAGGGTATCTTGGTCTACTCCTCCACGTTGGCCAGACTTCTTCGGAAGAGCCGGGAGTTACCCGCACTTCCAAACACTCAACCGCACGCGGACATGCCGGTCGACGGTTTGAGACGGCACAGTCGCGCACATCTCCCCAGGTCATCGAGCGTTGCCGCTGGCCACAGCCGCAGGAAGCCCCTCTCCTCACCGGCAAAAGCTCGTGGCGGCCGGCGACGATTGTTCGCGAGCGTGGCAGGCCACTGAGCCCAGCCGGGGACGGATGGCCTCATTTAATCTTGACTCATTATGTTGGCTGGCGGCGGGTGACTTTACACGCGACGGGGATTCACCCTCGCGTCCTCCACCCTCTACTCACACCGCCCACTGCCTCCCCACCCCGCCAATCGTGATGTAATGAATTGTCCCCCGTCGGTGGTCACGGTTACATTCCAGAATAGATTATTTTTCTCTTTCCGCCTCGTTTGTTGCGTCTGGGCTGTCCTCTCCCCCATATGTGTTTGTTTGGACAAGCCTTGATTGCTTATCAACTCTCCACAAGGACGTTTGATGATTTTTGTTTGTGTGTTGTGTGCTAGGACCCATGTTTTAGGCCCTTAACTAAAAACATCTGGCAGTCCAGCAGCGCTGGTTCAAGCAAGCTGATGAGACGCTGAAAGTTGAAACCGGGTCTAGGGTTAGCCAATGCTGCTGAAAAGATGCACTTCCAGGAGGCTGTGCGGCTGACGGGATGTGTGAAATATACTTTCATGTTTTGTGTGACAATACAAATATGGCAAGAAGGTGGAATTCACTTCATTATCCCAACGGATTGACGATAGAGGCTCCTCCCGAGTGCCTTTTCTCCGGGTTTTACAGTTTGCTTCCAAACAAAGCCAAACACTGATCGCTAATGAATTGGGCCAAACATCTCGGCGTGGCAGGACCCTCGCATAAAAAAACACGTCTCGAGACTCAGTTTCATTGGGTAAATACAAGGCATTATGAGTATTCTTACTTGTGTATTCATTTCCACGAGACAAAGAATCCATTCGGAAATCTCGCAGAGCAGCACTACCTACCCCCCCCTCCCCTACCCCACCGCCCCCTCATGTTGGAAAACAGCCCGTGGAAGCATATATCACAGAACTACTTCCTGGACGACTGTGAAAAAGAACCTTCAAAAGAGCTTTAAAACTCATCGGATTTGTCTCCGGCACAAGTAAATATTCTGATTCTTGCGAGGATCATCCCATGTGACCTCTGCCAAGAGACAAGTAGGGGGCAGCAAAATTCCCCGCCACGAACTCGGCGCTTTGCCGGGCGAAAACAAGCCGCCACTCAACCGGCACCGAATGTACAGCGGAGCACGAGGGCGAGAGGCCGAGAGGCAGAGGTCGCAACCGGGTACCCGATACCCGTACCCAACCCGATACCCGGCTACCCGTACCCGGCCGGGTACGGGTAGACCGTGAGTCACTGGTGAGTAACCGTTTGTCACTCTTTTTCCAACGTCTTGTCTCTTCTCACAATTCAAGTTCCTAGAATCAACCCACCCGCGCCTGCAACATGGCTTCATCCCAGAGATCGCAATCGGGTACCCGATACCCGTACCCTACCCGGCCGGGTACGGGTACAGGTACCCGTTTGCGACCCTGGTGAGGCCGGGTACAGGTACGGGTTAGGAATCAAAACCCGTTTGCGACCTCTGCCGAGAGGCCGAGAGGCCGAGAGGGCGACATCGTTGTGGTGAGCACGAGGAAGCCACCGCCACCGCCGCCCCTCCCCTCTCCCAAACATCACGTGGAGGCAGCGACAATCTCCGGGGCAGCCGCGTCTATCTCACGCGCACCGGTGATTCAGGCCCGGTGTCCAAATCCCCCCGGCGCTCACCTGCCGGGCAATTTAACGCGTAAATGAGTGCCAGCGGGGGTTGAAATTGCACCGATTGGTTACGCGGTGAGAGCCGTGCGCACGCCGGCGGGCACGGGGCGCCATCGCCTGCCGGTGACGGACGGCTGGCGCATGGCCGAGCGACGACACGTCAGCTGCTGCTGCTGCCACGTCGCAGACAGCGGAGGCAGTGACAATGGGGGACCGTTCAGCGATTCGTCAGGGCCCGTCTCGCTGCAGGCATCCCGCCCGCTTTCGCTCACTCACCCGATCGTTCACTCGCCGGCTCATTCGTATGCACACTCGCTTGCTCACCCGCTCACTCGCCCGCTCGCTCACCCCCGCACTCGCTCGCTCGCTCACCCACTCGCACACCCACCCGTTCACAATCTCACTCGCACCCTCAGAGGCCCAGTCAATCACCTGCCCGTTCGCAAGCCTTAATCCACCAAAATGCATAAATGGGTGAGGATGATGACTAGAATGGTGATGACGTTCCCCGTTACGACGCAAGGATGATAACATTTTCACTGACAAAGAGGGCTTTAGAAAAAAAAATCCGTTGAGCGCATCAGGAGCTACGCCTCACTGAGGTAAGACGGTGGAAAGGAAGTGGGGGATGACTGGTGAAAGCTAGTCGAGTGAAACCCACCTCACCACAGATCTCATTTCTCGCCTTCACAGACTGTTGGGGCAAGTGCTGTTAGCGAGCACCTACGAAAGCCGGCACAGCACACAAGGGCGTGGGTGGCCAGCACCATGCCTGGCCGTATTTTACTCCTGAATGGCGAATTTAAAATATTATATCAGGTACTCATTTGAGGCTGAGTCAACTTAGGGGAAGACCCAGGACTGGATAAAACGATCATCATTGGTGTTGGCCGTGATCACGTTATAACGATGTAGAAAAAGGTGCCAACATGCTGTCTAGAGAGTTGGAAATACTTTAAATATTTAACAGGAGGCCATAATGGGGAGGGTTCAACAGAACAGGGAGAGAGTTGAGGCACTTGATGAAGAGACGCAGAGTCCCATCACCACCACGACCACCACCATCATCACCTCCACCCTCATCACCACGACCACCACGACCATCACCACCTCCGCCACCACCACCAACACCACCACCACGACTACCTTCATTATCACCACCTCCGCCACCAACAACCGCTGTTCGCCACTAAGTCGTCGTGACGTCACCATGGCGCGTGTGCCAGGCTAGGTGCACCTTGAGAACGAGTGAAGTGTTATGAGTCTTTACTGTAACCGACCCAGAACACAGAGGTATGTCACGGGACAGACCCAGGTGTTATGGGTTGACCAACGAATGACTGACAGATGCCCCGCCTGTGCACCCCACCTCCACCAACACACCACCACCACCTCTACCATCACCGCCGTCTCACCTTCGGGCTCGTCACGTGGCAGGGGCTTGCTCTTGCGTGGCCGCACGAGCTTCCAGGGCGGCACGGGTGGCGAGCGCGGGGGCGGCACGAGCGGGGAGCTGCGAGTGCGGCTCACGTGGAGGAGGTGCGGCCACACGGGGGAGAGGCCGGCCTCACGCAGCTTCTGCGCCGCGTCCGCCTGCGTGTTTGTGTTTGTGTGCGTGTGTGTGTGCGTGTGGGAGCGATAGTGTAGCGGTTAGAGCTCTGCGCTATAAACCCGGCGACCCGGGTTCGATTACCGCTCACGGCCAAGACCATTGACGATTATCTGAACCGGTCCTGGGCCTCCCCTAGGTTGACTCAGCCTCAAATGTACCTGGTGCGGTGTGTAAACATTGCCAACTGGAGAGACAAAGGCGGTCGGGCGTGGTGCTGGCCACTCACCTCCTCGTGTACCGTTCCGGCCTTCATCGGTGCTCGCTAACAGCACTTGCTCCTACAGTCTGTTAAGGCTATATGGGGGATCTTTGTCTTTGTGCGTGTGGGTGGGGGGGGGAGTGGTACAGGAGGGGTCACAGGTAGTGCATTTTCCAGTCATCTCAGTCTGTAAACATCATGGCATCTAGGTGTGTTCCGTGACCTCCTGCCAGCGGGCATTCTTCGACATTTCACGTGGCCGAAAAGTACACATAGCCTGATACAAGCATCGTGGTGACATCTCCACCACTTTGTGGCCAATGGCAGTTGTTGTTATTGTTGGGGGAGCGGTATGCCACACGAGGGGGTGGGTGGCAGACATCAGTGGCGATGTTTACACACCGCACTAGGTACTCATCTGATGCTGAGTGGACCTAGGAGAGCCCCAGGACCGATTCAGATAATCTTCACTGGTGTTGGGCATGAGCCGGAATCGAACTCGGGTTGCCGGGTTTGTAGCGCAGCGTAGCGCTAACCGCTGCACTAGCGCCCCCCCGCAACATACATACATACACACACACGTGTAATGGGTTCAATTTAGGCGCACACACTTCTTGGGAGGCAACACTCATTTATTAATGAACACAACAGTTACTCAACAGTTGTTCTTACTCTACACATAGGGTGGTGACCACCGACCCACCCTAGCTAACACACACTTGTCTCTTAGCTACTCCCGCGTGACCCTGCCAGGTGGCTGCTGGCAGTCCGCTCACTGTAGGCCTTCTCTTCTTGGCATCTTCACGAGGCGTCTTCATTCTTTGCAGGAACAGCCCCGAACCTCCTGAGGAGGCCGCTTATATGGGCCCCACCCCGGCCACGCCTCCCGAGTCTAGAACCGGCCCTGACAGTCATTCTGACCTCCAGCCGGGATGACGTCATGTGTGTGTAGGCCCACGTGGTAGTAACGCTCACCCACATGGTGACGTCACACGTGTGCACACAGTAGTGATGCTACAATCACTACACATGCACACTGACACTCACCATCCTGCCCAGCACAGAGAAACTTTCGCTGCCGCTGGCTGGACACCTGTAGCTCGCGAACACCACCACCTCCGGCTTGTCGGGCACCGTCCCAAAGTTAGCGCTCAATCTCTCTGGAGGGAAACGGTCAGTCATTCGGAGAGTCAGAAAATCAGTCGGTCAGGCAGATGGACAGATAGATAAGCCACAGGCTTGCGAGAGTCAGGTAATACGTCGGTGTGAAAGTTAGATAATCCGTAAAACGGTCAGCCAGCGACACGTTTAGAAACAAGCATTGAGATTATATTATTTTGCTGCTAAAAATTTCGACGTGATAAGCCACTTTGTTGGGCTATCATTTGTGGCCAGGTTGCTAGATCTGAAAAATAAGTGAATAGGTGAGTGGGCTTTACCTGGTAAGATGAAAAGTTTATTTTTATCTAAGTGATTTGTTTAACATTCCTATACTTTGCACTCCTATTGTGTGTTTGTATTGTTTGTTGTTGTAACGTTCATCATCAGATTACTCCTGCAGTCTGAATACATATTCCCATTCAGTTAGAGAGTCAGGCAATCAGGCACGCAAATAAACTATTTTCATATTACCATGCACGGCTCACTGAGCTATGTAGCTCAAATCTTGTCATCAAAAGTTAGTCTACTTCCTGTTGTCCAATAAATTCAAAATTTTGCACACCTACTCAGATCCGGTGACAATGCATGCCTGTATCAAAATCGGCATCACTTAATCAATTAATTGGCTCTTTTAAAGCAATTAACATTTTGTATGGACGGTTTATTCATTAAATATTTATGTGGGTAGGTCAACAACGCCGCGGTCCCTAAACTCTGTAATCGCCTCGCCCAAGAAGCAGGTGCCGCATGTCTCAGGCGCATCATTGACAAACTTCTCGACCGTGAGTTAAACGAAATTGTTAATAAAACCGTTGATTTTTTAAAACTTTTTTAAAGGAGTTTATTCAGAAGCGACCTGGCCACAAATGATTGCTCAACGAAGCGGCTCATCACGTGGAAATGTACAGCAGCCAAACTCTCGTGATGTTGATTCTGAATGTGGAGGGAACAAACCAGAGGAGCCGTAGAAAAAAATCCACATGACCATGGGGAGAACATGCAAAACTGCAAATATACAGCAGCAGGCGTCAGGGTCGGGATCGAACCCACGACCTCCTGTATACCAGGCGAGAGAGATAACATCTTGCCACCAAGGCCCAAAGGCCCAAAACGTCGGGGTGACTCACAACGAACGGCACTCTCTCCGTTGTAAGCGACGAGAGTCTACGTGGTTTCTCGAATCAAATTGAAGAGCGGGGAGTGGCCAATGTGCATGCGCACGTGTATTTTGCCGGACGGCGCGATCCGATTATAGATACCCCATTAAAACAGCAGGGAGAAAAGAGGAATGGAAACAGTGCATTATGTCACGGCCCCCCACCCCCGCCCCCCCCGACCCACCCCCACACGTCTGCCACCAATTCCAATACGATGACTTATTCTATCTCTTCATGCCTCTCCTCTGTAAGATACGAAGCGATCGCCTTCACAATGATCAATCGGCCATTTTAAAAAATATAAAAATAAGAGGGGCCATTTAGAAATCGGCGGAGTATCTGTAAATGGATCGCCCTGTACGTACGCGTTATTTACATGCCGGCGATCCCGGGTCATGGTGCGGCGCGCGGCGGGAGAGGCACCTCTGATTAACACGGTTGGTTACGTACGACGATGTGAATGAAGTTGAGCGTACAACGTCAAGTTCATGAATAGGTTTTTACCCTTCCTGGCAAACAAAACAGTTGTCAAGATATTCTTGGTTCCTTCGGTAAAGTCACGTAGATGGGAGGAAAAAAAAACAATAATAAAATAATAGGTGTCAAGATGTTTGCAAGGAAATAATGAGCGCGTTAACCACACGTACTCATGGCAAACAGACAAACATGCAAACACGACACGAACAAGCTACCACCTTCAGGCACTGGCGACACAGATTCCGAAGGAGCGGCCTTCCTCTTGTCCTTCTCCAGCTCCTTCCCTTTCCGTCGGCCGCCCTCCTTCCCATCCATCCTGTCTGCGGAAGCGACAGCGAGCACCGGGTCACCTGGTGGGGGGGGTTCCCTCCGCTCTCTTCCACTACACCCCCCCCCCCCGCCCCCCCCAACAGATTCGGCCTCGCAGACAACGACGGCCGTGGCCGGTCCGGCGCCGGCAACGTTCGCCGCTCGGTGCAGAGGTTCGCGGTTTGAATCCTGTGGGCCGCCCTGATTAATACTGTGTATTAACGTAATGAGTTACTGCGGTTCTCATTAAAGGTTTCCCCTGTGTCACGAATGAGCGTCGCATCCCTGACAACAAAAATAATACCACCCACGCGCCGTCTCCTGCTTGAGCGCACGTTAAAAGCTCCCGCGGCGCCATCCGAAAAGAGTAGGCTTGGCATGACGGGCCCAATGGGTCAAATCTGAACAATTACACACACCGCAAATTACTCAAATTGGGATAACACGGTGCAGCAACGTCGTCCCCTGCTGTGAAACTACAATTGTGTCCGTGACACGCAGCACGTATGAATGTTAAACTTCTTTCGCGCCTTACGTAGTCACCCGTGCTAATCGGAGGAGCGGGCGAAGGACAACAAACTAAACACAGCAGCGCCTTCATTCGTGATAGCACTCGAGACAGATATGAATGGCACGGCAACAGAATGCGCGTACACGTTTCATCCTGTGATAAACAGCCTGTGCACAGACTGCAATTTTAAATATGATAATAAATAATAGTCTCATTGCCGTATTTCGAGATTATTTATGAGCATTTTTTTTGACAATCTGCTGCATGCACAGCCCACTGCTGCAGCGTTTTCTCTTTAAAATAAAAAAATAAAACGCACCTAGAATCCACAGCGCAATCATCGGCTGCGACTGACAAAACTCAGCAGGACCCTCCTGAAAAAGAGTCATGAGGCTCTGCGAGGCTGGGCAAACACGCACAACGATAACTTACGGCTGTCACTTCCGATCCGCTGAAAATCATCGTCGCCATTCATTACTCATCCTGCGCCTCTCACGCTGCGCATCTCGCAGCAGGGGGCCCTGGGGCCCACGATGACAAGCGGCTAGCAGCAGAAACATTTCTTGAATCGAGATAATGACACGCGGGGAACCATCGCGAAGGAAGCGACCGCGAGCCGCACTTGCGCGCGCTCCAACTCGGAACGAAACGACGACGCTCAGCCCCCTCCATCCCGCACCCACCGGCTGGCGTCCCACGCTCGGCGGCCTTGGGGGGCCCCTCCTTCCTGCAGTCCTTGCCGGGCGCCGTCGCGGGGGGCTCCGCCGCGGGGTTGGGGGGACCGGGATCCGCCGCCGCCGCGGCCGGCGGGGGCTCTTCGACCGCCGGCTCCACCGGGACCCCCGGGGTCGCGTGCTCCTCTGGGCGAGCCCCCTCTCCGTCCTCCGGGGGCAGGCGGAATTCGGGCAGCAGCTCCCGCAGCAGGCCCCAAACGTGGGCAGCGTGGGCAACCCTGGGGCGGGAGGGCGGGTGGGCGGGCGGGCACAAAGGCAAGAGGCAGACTCGGTTAGACGGACGGGCAAACAGACGGTCGGACAATAAACGATGAAAGAAATCAGCCAGCAATGCAGTAAGTCAGTTGGGCCAATGAGGCAATTAGTCACGTGAGCAATCAGTCAGAAAGTCAGACAATCAGGCACGCAGTGAGCCAGTCAGAGAGTAAGACAATTAGGTCATCAGTCAGACAAACATTAAGTTGGTTATTCAGTCAAATATTTAGTCAATCAGTCCGTTAATTAAGGAGGCAATTATTTCACCTGAGGGTTCAGCAAGCTAGGCAAATTAGTCTGTGGATAAAATAATCAAGCAGCCAGTACTGAAGTCAATCAGTCAGCTGGTTGTTAATTTGTTAAGTCAGTCAGTTGCTGAATCAGTCAGTTAATCAGTGAGTCAACCAGTAAGATAGACATTATATCAGTCAGTCAGCCGTTCGGTCAAATCATTCACTCACATTTCCATCACTAAAAGCACTCAGTTTGCATTATAATTGGCAGTGAACATCGCTTTTAAATCTGTACCAGGACACGAGCGCTGTTGTTGCTGTCCTTGTTGTTGTTGTGATGCTGGGCAGACACAACGTGTGCCAAGTTACACTGATTACCCCTGATTGGTGCTCGCAGGCTCCTCCGCGAGATGTAAATATAGCCTTAAATGTCAGCGCACACCACGCTCGTGAGTTTGTGCCACCGTGCAAATGGCATGGGAAATTGCCCAGTGAGCCCAGACGGATGGAGCTAAAGCGTCAACCGTTTCAACCTTGTTTGGAAGGCATTCACAGGAAGGACGAAAGGTGGCCGAGTGGCTCAAAGGTCAGAGGCGTTGAGCCGGCAACGCAGAGACCCTGGGTTTGAATCCGAGTTTTGAGCCACTGCCCGTGATTCAAACCGGTTGCCCTCAAGTATAACTGAGTTGATGAGCTTAGACTAATCACCAATGACTGTGTCATTTTATTCATTTCCAGCGATGATCCTGGATCAATATAATTTTATACATTGCCCTCGATGGATGAATGAGTGAGTGGGTGAGTAGCTGAGTGAGTAAGTGGCTGAGTGAGCTGGTGAGTGAGCGAGCGAGCGAGCGAACAAGTAATTGAGCAACTGAGTGGTTTTATTGAGCAGCTAAGTGAGTGAGTGGCCGTGTGTGTGTGGCTGAATTAGTGAGTGAGCGAATGAGTGAGCGAGTGAGCGGGGTGAGTGACGGACCCATGCACACGCAGTGTCCTGCGGCTGTCACTCACCGTAGAGGGATGACTTCAGGGATCCAGCCGGTGAGGCAGTGCAGCACCGTAAACTCTCCCAGCTCGCCGTGGCCACTCCGCCCCACACAGCTAACACACAGACAAAGACAATGATTGCTGTGGTGGTGAGATGTTAACTACCTAACCTGGCATACAGGAGGTCGTTGGTTTCAATCCCGACCCTGACGCCTGCTGTATAGGGTAAACCACGGTGGCGAGATGTTAACTACTTCATCCGGTATATCCTCCTGTCGTTGGGGTCGATCCCGATCCTGACGTCTGCTGTGTATTTGGAGTTTGCATGTTCTCCCAATGGTCGTGTGGAATTGTCTTCATGTCCTCCGGTTTTAACCCTCCACATTTAGAATCAACATGCGTTTAGAGCATTTGACTGCAGTGAATTTCAACATTGATAACCCACTTGTGACTTACAGTGAGGGAAAAAAAGTATTTTATCCCCTGCTGATTTTGTACGTTTGCCCACTGATGACATGGCACACAAGGGGGTCGGTGGCCAGCACCACGCCCAGCCGCCTTTGTCTCCCTCGTGGCGATGTTTTACACACCGCACCAGGTAGTTAATTTGAGGCTGAGTCGACCTAGGGGAGGCCCAGATAATCGTCACTGGTGTTGGCCGTGAGCAGAAATCGAACCCGGGTCGCCAGGTTCGCAGCGCAGCGCGCTAACCGCTGCACCACCGCTCCCCCACACGTGTGTACACAGACGCAACAACACACTGTTCTGTTTTGCTCCGATGAAACGAAGCTCGCTTTCCCGTATTTTTTTTAAGGGGGGGGAGAGAAAAGCGACGCGTTTATTCATTGGGAAACTGCAAATGGAGCGTGAGCTTCAGAGCGATGGTTCACCAAACTTTCATTTCTGGAGGCTGCCACTAACCTCAGAGACGACCTCCTCAAGGTCACGTCCCTGCACGGCGCTCGTGCACACGCGCAAACAAAGACACACAAGGATACACGCACGCGCGCGCGCACAAACAAAGATCCCCCGTATAGCCTTAACAGACTGTAGGGGCAAGTGCTGTTAGCGAGCACCTATGAAGGCCGGAACGGTACACGAGGGGGTGGATGAGTCAGCACCACGCCCGACCGCCTTTGTCTCCCCAGTGGCAATGTTTACACACCACACCAGGGTACTCATTTAAGGCTGAGTCGACCTAGGGGAGGCCCAGGACCGGTTCAGATAATCGTCACTGGTGTTGGCCGTGAGCGGGAATCGAAACCGGGTCGCCAGGTTCATAGCGCAGCGTGCTAACCGCTACACTACCGCTCCCCACACAAACAAAGACACACGCGCACACACAAGCACAGAACGCACACGCACATCCGTCGTCCGCGTGGGCTCTTTCATCATCGTTTACCTAATTTCCCACGGAACAGACAGCGCCAGTTATCTCCAGTTGCCCCGATTCAGCCCGACTTTGGGTCAGATCTCTCTACCCCGAATTCGAGCCGAAGGGGCGACTGGAGTTGGCTGAAATTAAAAAGAGGTGGGCGCTTCTACAGCGCTCCCACGGACTAGAGCCATCAGGTGAGTCAGGGGCGACACTGGGCGCCACGCAGAGGTCGCAACCGGGTACCCGATACCCGTACCCTACCCGATACCCGGCTACCCGTACCCGGCCGGGTACGGGTAGAGATCAAACATTGAATTTATGAACTTCTTTCGCACCATATGTAGCCAACCATGCTAATCAGAGGGAAAGACAACAAACTGAACACAACAAGTCGTTGCAAAGAAAGAGTTGATAATTGGTTCTTTACCCTTCTATCTGGCAACAAAACTGACACCTTTTTGCAAGGAGTCATGTTTGCATAGACCGCAATACCTGCAGTCATAAATACAAACAAAGACATAACTCTGATAATGTGCACTGTCCCTGAAGTTGATTGGTCCACACCCGAGACAGCTTTCCTTCGAGCCTAGTCTCATATGGGTTGGACCAGATGACGCCAAAAGGCGCACAACTCAAGGACAATGCACCATCAGAGTATGAGAGCTCGGGGCAAGCATCTACACTATGGGGACCTCATTTGCCAGTAAAAATATGATAATTGGTTCTTTACCCTTCTATCTGGCAACAAAACTGACACCTTTTTGCAAGGAGTCATGTTTGCATAGACCACAATACCTGCAGTCATAAATACAAACAAAAAGGTGTCAGTTTTGTTGCCAGATAGAAGGGTAAAGAACCAATTATCATATTTTTACTGGCAAATGAGGTCCCCATAGTGTAGATGCTTGCCCCGAGCTCTCATACTCTGATGGTGCATTGTCCTTGAGTTGTGCGCCTTTTGGCGTCATCTGGTCCAACCCATATGAGACTAGGCTCGAAGGAAAGCTGTCTCGGGTGTGGACCAATCAACTTCAGGGACAGTGCACATTATCAGAGTTATGTCTTTTGTTTGTATTTATGACTGCAGGTATTGCGGTCTATGCAAACATGACTCCTTGCAAAAAGGTGTCAGTTTTGTTGCCAGATAGAAGGGTAAAGAACCAATTATCATATTTTTACTGGCAAATGAGGTCCCCATAGTGTAGATGCTTGCCCCGAGCTCTCATACTCTGATGGTGCATTGTCCTTGAGTTGTGCGCCTTTTGGCGTCATCTGGTCCAACCCATATGAGACTAGGCTCGAAGGAAAGCTGTCTCGGGTGTGGACCAATCAACTTCAGGGACAGTGCACATTATCAGAGTTATGTCTTTTGTTTGTATTTATGACTGCAGGTATTGCGGTCTATGCAAACATGACTCCTTGCAAAAAGGTGTCAGTTTTGTTGCCAGATAGAAGGGTAAAGAACCAATTATCATATTTTTACTGGCAAATGAGGTCCCCATAGTAAAGAAAGAGTTTTCAATCTAGATTCTTTAAAAGTCCATAGCTCCAGGGACTTCCTAATATCGGAAGGAAGAGCGTTCCAGACGGCCGCAGGTGCGCATCTGAAAGCACGCGATGCAGTGACCGTCTTTGTTCGATGGTTAGCCAAAAGCCGGTGCTGCGAGGATGACCGGAGTTTCCATCATGACTTATGCTCTTCAACAACGTAAAAGTGCGCTTGTGCACAGGAAACAGTTGAATAGTTCTAACCCCACATTTAATTCCCCAAACTTTCTCTGCCTCAGATACGAATGGCGGTGAAATTCCTCCTGTTGCAATCACAGCGACTGGGACCCAGGAAGACATCAGAATTGGGATTACCGCCTGACATGTCTTCACAAGAGCAAACCTTCCCACAATGCACTGTGCCAGCAACATTTTCACCATTTTACTTCGAATGTAAAGGAGTGCATTTAGGCGCAATGCATTTGTGATTATTGACGGGTTTGTGATTGTTAAAATGGTGTTCATACTCTTTGGTTCTTTCGGTAAAGATACGTAGGTATAAAATAAAATAAATCACGACGTTTCGGGCGCAACACAAGCATCCGTCATCAGGTGGGAAAGCATGGTTTGCTGCTGAGGCAGATTTATTTTATACCTATGTGACTTTACCGAAATAACCAAAGAGTATGGATTCCTGCAGTCATGAAAGCTTCAAATCAAAATGGTGTTTGCCTGTGATTAAATAGCTATTGTTAGATAATTGTTCACAGACCAATTTATAAAACTGAGTTATCAGAATTTCTTTTCTAAAAATGTAATTCTCATCAGGCCCCATGGTGTAAACCAGTGCAGTGTACAACACTTATCATCTACTCCGTCTTTATTCTCACCTAGCTATTCACGTGTTATGGAGAAAGGTCATTACCAAAAACGTTGCCTTTTTTCATTTTAAAGCCACAGTGTTGCCGAGTGTGTTGAGTTTTTAGATAGATTAGAAAAACGCAGCAGCAGACAGCAGGCAGAGGGCGATGACAGCTTTCAGGATGATCCGTACCTCCCCCTCGCCCTGATGCTGCGTTTCCACCGTCGTTAGAAGCCAGACCTGAGCCTTGCCAGGCTCTTCCAGGAGCGTGGCTCACTACCCGTGCCAATGGTGCAGGAGCCAGACGGCTCCTTGATGTTAGAACCCTTCCCTCCGTGCCACCACCACCCGCTCTCCCTCAATATGACTCGTTCTTATTAACTAGGCTCACCCGTATGGTTGCGTTATGTTATGCTACCCCAAGCCAAAAAACTATTATCTTTGTAATTTCCCACTATTTTATTTTTAATGAAAACACGGCCCTCAATTTTGACCTATGCGAAAGACGCTATTGACCTGTGTCATTATTCCATTGACCCCGTGACAACATGACTGGTTCCAAAGGGCAGCCTGGGAAAATGCACGCGACTCCCATATGGAAGGGAGCCACGTGGCCCCTTGGAACTGGTTTCAACCGGTATGGCTGCCAACGGGAACCCTGGGCCGAGTCCTTTTGCCCGATTCATGAACCAGTCCGGGCCTCCTTTTAAGGTGGTCATCGGAACGTGGCATTTTGTTTCTCTCTGCCTTCATATGCACGTTTAGCAGCACACCAACCCAACGCTGTACACTGCCACAATCGGTTAATCAATTAACACATGTTCTGTGACAGTAAAGTCACCTTGTTCGCATTTCGCCTTAGTGAATTCTAATAATCAAATCTCATGGTCCTAGCTTAAAGGAAGCGAGCAGTTTCAGAAGGGGAAAAAAAACCTTTGAAACAAGAAAAAAGGCCTGAGATTGGTCAATGACATCATTCCACAGGGACAGGATCTGACAGCTGTCACGAAGACAAATATCCCTCCATGGAACCGCCACAGATAACACTGGTCAAAAAAAAAAATTCTGGCCTGGACTTTTGCAGCTGTTCTAGACTAATTTCAGGGTGCTGATTCCAAATCTGATCTCAGATTTGCTCTATCACATCTAATTTTTATGCTATCGGCATACCCCATTTTAATTGATTTTACCCGAATTTAACTCTGTCACTTATCATTGCAAGTTGTTGCGAGTCAGTGACTGCTTTAGTGTTAAAATATGGTGCTGTATTTTTAGGAGTGTGTGTTTATAATATCATTTTATGTAGATATCCACATTTATTTACTATTTTTCTTCTGCAGTTTTTATTGAAAATGCAATATTTGATATCTCAAAAACCTGATGTGA